AGAACAGAGCTGTGATTATCCTAATCACTGATCTGAGAGGCACTTTCGAGTCACTCTAGCTTTATTTAGCTGCCTCCTGCTGTGATTCTGAGTCAAAACAGGAACAACATGGCTAATTTGTAATATTAGCCAACGATGTCAGGGATGTGGTTAGCTTTGATTAGAAATCCTAGACTCAGCATGCTACCCTTTCCACTGTGAAGGCATGTGGAGAAAAAGAAAAACTGGGTGAGGCAGAGATTAAAGCAAAACAACCCCCTCCAAACATCTTGTGAGTCCAAAAGATGTCTGAATGCTCTGCTCACACAAAATGGCTAAAACGGAACTATCCTCAATTCTGGAAGAGATACAAGGGTTAAAAAAGACTTATTCACAGTTGTGAGTTGTTATCAAGTCTGTTTCAACTCATAGGAACCCATGTGTGCACAGGAGAACTGTTCTGTAGGTTTACTACACTGTAACCTTTCACAAGCAAATCCAACTTTTTGGCTAGTAGTCTAAAATGTTTAACTCTTTTCACATCCCAAGGACTTCCCTTCCTGCCTTCCAACATATTAATGCCTCAAACCTATAAAACTTTCAAATAATAATAACAGCTAACAATGACTTCTTACTCTGTGGTAAGAAGTCATTGTTAGCTGTTAGTATTATTTGTTTAGCTCTTTACGTGTATTAATTGATTGAATCATCATAACAACCCCACTTCTAATTTTCATTTTATAATATTAGGAAACCGGAGCACGTAGATGTCAGCCAACTGGTCAAGTTGGCAAAGCTAGTAAGTAGAGATTCAACCTTAAGACCAGGAAACCCAGTTGCATCATCACTGGCATCCCCAGGAGGGGTATAGATTGTGCCCCTGACACCAAAATGGGCCCAGAGTCTGAGGTGGCTGTGGAGGAGTGCTTGGGGAGGGGCTGCCAATGCTGCTGCATGACTAGAGTTGGTATCTCCGTCACCAGTGCAGTAACTTGTCACTACCACCACCCTCACCAGCAACCAGTCCGAGTGCAGGTGGACTGGCCATAGCACCCACCACTGGGCGGAGAATAGGGCCTCTACCTTGGACAATGGGAAAAGGCAGGAGCCATGGGGTGGGGGCTGACAGTCTGAGTCACTGCACTGGGTGGACACCAATCGCATTGCCTGTATCTATCACCTACTCTTAACCATTACACTAGACTCTTTCTCTCTTGCCTAAAGTAGCAGACAATCTCCCCATCCCATGTCCAGTACTCTGCAACAAAAAGTGTATTTACTGCACTTGGAGAGTATTTATGGAATGAATGCAACTGAGAATGGTCGTGTTGGATTCTTATAGGCTCAGCCAGAGATCAACAATTACATATTATATTTGTAATATCCTGACCTGAGGGTGAAAGTGAGTATGTCATTCACAAGTAAACAGTGAATTCTGTTACTTCTGGATTCTTTCCCCCTCACATCTTTTGCTCCTATTAGTCCTGCAACCTGGCAGATCTTCTCTGATGGACAGCTGTCACCAGACACCATCAACGACCAATGCAAATCTTCCCTCTTCTAATGGAATCTATACTTTGCTGAGTACAGGAGTAGCATATGAATTTTTTCTGTTTATGAATACAAAGAGAAAGGTGGAGAGAGAGAATGACAGAGAAAGGACTTAAGAAGAGAGGATCAAAAAAAGGGAAAGAGAGAATAAGAGGGAGGGAGGGAGGAAGGCATGAAAACTCGAATAGGTTTGAGTCATATATATTATTGTTATTGCTATTGTCTACTTTGATTCACAGTGACCCCATGTGACAGAGCAGAAACTCCCCGTGGGGTTTGTTGTTGTTTTGTGAAGTGCCGTTGAGTCAATTCCAACCCATAGCGACCCTGTATAGGGTTTCCGAGGAACAACTGGTGAGCTTAAACTGCCGACCTTGCAATTCAAATGGCTTTGCAGTCTGGTGCATTTACCCACAGTGCCACACCAGGACTCCTAGGGTTTACTAGACTGTAATCTCTTCGTGTGACTCTGTAGGATTAAGCACTGGACTGCTAACCACAAGATCGGTGGTTCAAATCCACCAGCCCCTCTTCAGAAACCCTATATTGGGCTGCTGTGAGTTGGAACTGACTCCACAGTACTTAACAACAACAGTCTTTATAGAAGCATATTGCTAGATCTTTATAAATCCTAGCCCTGCCATCCACCAGCTCTTTGATCCTGGACATACTGTGGAATGTCTCTAAGCTTAATTTTCTTGTTCATAATATGAGGAGACTGATAGGGCTCCTCTCAAGGTGTGGCTATAAGGATGAAATAAAGCCGTGCCACGGAAAACAATCTTAGCACTGAATGCTGTTGCTGTTGTTTTCAAGTGCATCAAGTTAGTTCCAACCTATAGGGATCCTGTATAGGGTTTCTGAGGAGCAGCTGCCTATCATTAATGTTAGCACAAAAATGAGAGACCCACATCTATTTTCAATCAATCAATCAATCAATCAATCAATCAATCAATCAATCAATAAAGGCGCTCTGGATGCATAGTAGTTATGAGTCAGGCTGCTAACCTCAAGGTTAGCAGTTCAAAACTACCAGCTGTTCTGCTGGAGAAAGATGAGGCTTTCAGCATCAGTAAAGATTCACAGCCTCAGAAACTCGATGCAGGGTCACTATGAATCAGAACCGACCCTACAGCACATAAAAACCACCACCACCACATCTATAAAAAAAATAAATCTCATCTCTTTCTCATTACTTAAAAAAAAGTGTAAGATGTACATATCAGTATCCATTGTGTGTTTGCTGATCAGAAATCTGGTAACGAGAATAGAATCCTATAAGAAAAATGAAATGGAGTCAAGCATTCCACAGTTTTTGTGTTTGCCATCTTAGCAGACTTGAAGTGCAAAAATAAAAATTGCCTTATGAGTTTTCATTTTTTAGAAGTATCAAATCCCAAAAATGTTGCTTCTTGTATCTGTGTTGCTGTGTGTGTGTGTGTGTGTGTGAGAGAGAGAGAGAGAGAGAGAGAGAGAGAGAGAGAGAGAGAAAGAAAAGCGTTTTAGAAGACTGCAAAGCACTCAGACAGCTGAGTCATCGGGGGTGTGGGGATTCCTGAATACAAAGAGAAATTGCCTTTAAGCTGATTAGCTCACCTTCTAAGGAACAAACTATGAGTCTGATAATGAATAAGAAAGAAAATTGGAATGAAGAGCTATAATTATCACCAAAGTCAAAATGCACTGAAAACTCAAGGGACTGGTATCTCAAGGATGTATAGTAATTGTAAACAAGGATGTACAGTATTGAAGACTAAGGTGCGCCTGACCCAAGCCATGGGATTTTCAATAACCTCATATACATGCGAAAGCTGGACAGTGAATAAGGAAGACCCTAGAAGAATTGATGCTTTTGAGTTATGGTGTTGGAGGAGAATATTGAAAGTGCCACGGGCTGCCAAAAGAACCAATAGATCCATTTTCGAAGAAGTGCAGCCAGAGTGCTCCTTGGAGGCCAAGATGGCCAAACTTCGTCTCTCATACTTCGGACATATTGTCAGGAGGGTCCAGTCGCTGGAGAAGAATAACATGTTTGGTAAGGTGGAGGGTCAGAGGGAAAGAGGAAGACCCCCCAATGAGATGGATTGGCCAAGTGGTAGCATCAATGGACTCAAGCGTGGCAACAGTAGTGAGGTTGACCCAGGATCGGGCAGTGTTTCATTCTGCTGTGCATAAGGTCGCTTGCTATAAGTCACCACCAACTTGATGGCACCTAACAACAACAACATAGTAATACAGGACTTCGAGACAACAATAAAAAGGTATGCAGTGTATTTTTATGTACTGACTGACTTGCTTAGGAGGTGTAAGGGGTTGAGTGAAATACATTGCAAAATAATGTTTATGATACGATCAAATGCTTGCATTGAAAGATGGAAGGAAGGAGAGAAGAGGGGGAGAGAGGGAGGGAGGAAAATTAAATAAGGGAGGAAAGAGAGGAGGAAGATATAAAAAACAGGAATCACTAAGAGATGAATGTACATCTAACAAACCACCAGTATTATCTATGGGGTAGGAAGTGAGGGGAGGAAGGAAATGTACTTTCATTTAAAAATTTGTACACACTTAGATCATGTGACTTTCTGAAAAGGATAAATATTTTTATGATTAACACTTACTGTGTTTTTAAAAAAAACAACAAAAACATAAAAAATAGACTATAGTGTAGTGTGTGTCCCCCTTCAAGCTAACTGAATGTTGAGCTTCAAAGATGGTAGTGAATTTCTAACCTAGTCTTCCCATGGCTTGATGAGTAAAACTTGGCTTATCTTATACGGCCTACATCTCAGTTCTCTCAATTGGGACCAATGTCTACCTTCTAGGAATATTTGCAAGAAATGAGTTAATTCAAAGACAGTGTTTCCCTTGGATCAAAGAAACTTCTTCACATCTCTAGAGGAGCAGTTCCCACACATTGTTGTTGTTGTGAAGTGCTGTCGAGTCAGTTCCAACCCATAGCAACCCTGTATAGGGTTTCCTAGGAGCAGCTGGTGAGCTTGAACTGCCGACCTTGCAGTTCAAAAGGCTTTGCAGTCTGGTGCATTAACCCACAGCGCCACACCAGGACTCCTTCCACACATTAGCTACCCAGAATCTTCTCGAGGACTTTAAAAAGCATAGATGAATGGGACACACCTCACCATTTCTGAATCAGTAGATGAGGGGAGGGCCCTGAGGATCCACATTTTTAGTAAGTTCCTAGGTGATCATGATGCTTTGAAAACTACTGCTGTAAGGGAATCTAGTCATTTATGAGTAATATGGGTCCTAGTGAGCCCAAGTCAATAAGGACCAGAATCAACTGTGGTTATTTGCTGTGCTCACTAGGAGAATAGGTTTCTAATCTACAGTACCCAAGCTCTTCAGCGTCAGCCATAGCATGATGCACTTTATGCAAATGCACACCAGGATACATCAACAGAAATCAACACAAAGACAGGCCCCAGGACCCCTGAGAGAAGAAAACTCACCTTCAGAGAAGATGATGTGGTCATTGCATTCTTCAGCACTACAGGAACATATAAAGAAGGTCTCACCCTGCATTTTTTTCTCTTTCATAAGGCACTTTGAAGAAGCAGAGTCTTCTAGATTAACTCCCTTGAATGCGTGTTGAGGGTCATGGCAAACTGTCTCTAGTGTAATGTTCTTATCATTTTTTCTCCTAGGGTGCAAAGGGTCACAGGGGAAGGGAAGAGAAAGAAAAAGAATAAGTGGATACGACTTCATTTATAAAGCTGATTTTGACAAAGGTAGTTGGTTCCAGTGATCTAACATGAGCAGGCTGCCCTCTAGTCTCTTGTGAAAATTCATTTCAGTTTTCCTTTTACTTATTCTCAGACCTCACTTATGATTATAAGTAGGAGAGCTATCCCTGGGGACTGTCCTTATGGAGAAGTGTACATATTAAGTCTTAAAAAGTCATTAAAGGAGAGGGGCATCGGAGAACAGAAGATTCCTCGGTACTCAGGATTATTTTAAACCTTCCATCCTGAATGTGGACTTCTGGTGTGGTGCTTGCTAAACGATGAGCACTGGATTGTGACCCACAAGGTCAGCAGTTCAAACCTACCAGCTGCTCCTCAGAAACCCTATACAGGGTCGTTATGAGTCGGAACCAACCCAACGGTGCTTAACAATATTCAGAATGTACTGTATCCCTAGTTTATTTGGTAGAACCCAGCTCCCCAAAACCAAGAGCCCACTGACTCATTCATTTTGACTCATTGCAACCCATCGGACAGAACAAAATTGCCTCATAGGGTTTCAAATGCTGTAATCTTTATAGAAACAGATTCCTATATCTATCTCATGCTGGTGGATTTGAACTGCTAACCTGGTCAACAGGTGATCACGTAACTGTACCACCAGGACTCCCTAGACTCAACCTTATGTCTAGCTAACCTCTTCTTAAAAAGCATAAACGGGGAAAGTCTTGTTTCCTCAGCTTTTGCTTGCTGGGTCCCAGGGCACTGTGTGGGGGGTTATATTCCATGTCAGCAGTTGGCTGTCTGAGAAAAAGGGAAGAAACTTCACAGATAAAGAGTTAGTTTCCCATATGCCTGATGCAAACACTTGAGAAAAAAAAAAAAAGAAAGCACGTGGGAAGAAATTGCAGGGTGTTCTTCATATATAATTCAGTAAAACATTTTATATTTACTATCTCTTCACACTGTCATTGGAGCCTAACGTAGCTAACGACTCCTAGAATCTCTCAAGATTCACAGTAAGCCTATAAAACAGAATGGGACTGCCCCAGAGGGCAGGCCCTAATAAATGCTCAGTTGGGTCTAATAGTACAGTGACGCTTTAAAATGATACGATTGATTTTCAATTAATATAATTGAGAAAGCACAAGTAAAATTCTGGCATTCTCAGAAAATCTGGTATCTTTTCTGCCAATTTTCTTCTGCTTTCCTCAAAAACTTGTCATCCTGGATAAAAATGGCCTGACACCTTCCATCTCAGCTCCATCTTTTCTAGATGCAAAGTCCTGTTGTCTTGAATTAGATTCTTTATATCCTGAGGAGGATCCTAAGGAAGGACTGTTGTTGTCAGGTACCCTCAAGCTGGTTATGACTTATAGCAAACCTTGCACAACTGAACGAAATACTCCCTGGTCCTGCACCATCCTCAGTATTGCTGCTACACTTGAGCTGATTGCTGCTACCACTATGTCAAGTCATCTTCTTGAGGTGTTCCTCTACTTCACTGACTTTCCACTTTACCAAGCACGATGTCCTTCTCCAAATAACAGGTCCGTCCAAAGTATGAGAGATGGTCTTGCTATCCTGGCTCCTAAGGATCATTCTGGATGTACTTCTTCCAATATAGATTTATTTGTTCTTCTGGCAGTACATGGTACTTTTAATATTCTTTTCCAATACCATAATTAAAATGTATAGATTATTCTACGGTCTTCCCTATTCATTGTCCAACTTTCACATGCATATGAAGCTATTCAAAATACCATGGCTTGGGTTAGGGGTGCCTTAGTCCTCAGACTGATATCTTTGCTCTTAAACATTTTAAAGAGTTCTTGTGCAGCAGATTTGCCTAATGCAATATATCATTTGATGTCCTGACTGCTGCTTCCTTGAGTACTGACTGTGGATCCAAGCAAAATGCAGTCTTGGCAAACATCAATCTTTCCCCCATTTATCATTATGTTATTTATTGGTTCAATTGTAAGGCTCTTTGTTTTCTTTACACTGAGGTGCAATCTATACTGAAGGCTGTGATCTAATTAGACCTTAAATGATGTGTCTGTTTTGATTAGTTTTAATAGTGGAACCTTCTTATGGGAGGGATTCTGAGTACATACATATATAAGAGCACATATGAGCCAACACACATGCATACTTGCACACTCAATCCCCCACACATACACATAGCTTACTTCAGGGAAAACCAAATATAATTTTGGGTCATACTCAAGTGAGAAAAGGCAATTTTAACTAGTCCCATCTTTTAAGTGCCTAATTCAAGGCTACTAAAGACAACATGTCAATAAGGGGATAAGAAGAATGGTGTGGGTATGGGTGTGGGTGTGGGGTGAGGATGAAATAACCCAACAGGAATTAAGTGGGTGCTATGACATCCAGCCCAGAGACAAGTAGACTCCTTTATGAAGGAGCTCAAATGTTAAGGGTCAGTGGAAACTCCAACCAGCTCAGGAGGAAATAGCCCATGAAAAGGCAGGTCTCTACTGTTCAAGGTAGAATGGCAGCCAATCAGACGCCTAACTATCAGGCAGCAACCAGGGAACTAAATGAAAGTAAAATAGACACCATCACACAACAATGAGGTATAGTTTAAAATCTATCCATTTTTAACCACAGTGCTACTGTGCTTAGTTGGCAAATCTATGGTCATAGTGTAAGGATATTTTCTCCTTTCCCTGGTTGTGTGTGTGTGTGTGTGTGTGTGTGTGTAGGATGGTCACTTTTTGTTTTAAGTACCTAAATGAAGGCATGCTGAATCCTCTATGCTCCCAGGGGGGAAAAATGGTGCCTCTTTCTTGTGAAGCTTCTAGAGACTAAGGAATGGTATATGCTGAGAAGAAACTCAACAATTCCTGAAACTGGGTTAAGTTCCTTAACTGCTTTTTCCACTCACTCCTGCAATAAAGTCCCTTACCAGATAAAGTATCTCTGGATATACTGAGCACAAGAACTAAAGATGCAATGAAATTAATAGAGCCATTCTCAGGTTATTAACGTCTAACTTAAGGACAACTCTTGCCTACCCTTTAATGTTATGTAAATCTACCCTCAGTTTGAAATGACTTGAACCAACCCCTATTGGCAACAAATCCTTCAGCACAATCACCTTCACTTGCTTCACATGCAGCTTTTAAATCATTGGAAAAGCTTTGAGGGTCTTTTCTTTCACTAAAGTAAGGCTAAATAAGAACTGTCTACACTTGTTCTAACTCACCTATAAATGTCAGTTAAAGATTTAAAGACATAGTTAGCAATGGATATTGTTCCTAATCCACGGTTTGCCTGTATACATTTTTTTTTTTTTTTTGGCCTGCAGCATTTATTCTGAGTCATTAAAGAGGTTTTGAATATCCAGTGGACAAAGAACCAAAGTCATGAAACTAATTTAAGTTCGAAAACATTCCCCTTCTTTGGAAAGAACTTTCATTTCTCATGGAATGGATACATAACATACATTAGTTCAATGAATGGCATCAGTGAATGAAACGTTACTAAAAGTGTAAAGTCATGGGAATTACTATCTTGCTAGAGCCTTTCAGTTTCCACACTAGTATGTGTTTTAAACAACCTCCTGTCTTAGTTTTCAGCTTGAGGTTTTGTCACTTCAGTGCAGATAGTTTGGGGGGATGTACCCAGGTGGGATTAAAAGAAGTAGTATAGTGCAGAAGGAGGTGAACCACAATGCAGGTGAACCACAATGTAGGGTGCAAAAAAGAGCTCAGCTGATCTCACTGAAGCTGAGATGGCCCTTTAGACTCAAACTAACTGGAGGTAAAGTTGTCAGGCATTTGTATGCCTTACCCAATAAGTCATGGGATCCTGGCTGCTCCCGAGGAGAGAGCAAACTTGAATGAAGCAGCTCTCTTCAGTAGAAGAGAATTTCCTGAAGGGACTCAGGAGTGAGGTTATAGAAGTCAACATTCCCAACAGCTTAGGGGAGTGAGTACCTTGTAAAGAGAGTCAAATCCATCAGCTGCTCCTCAGAAATCCTATATGAGCTGGAACCAACTTGATGGTACTAAGCAACACACTCCAACTACCAAGGAGGACTTGCCTCCACCAAAACACACAAAAAGAATATCCACTGTACTTACTTTTTATAGGTAGGACATAGTGGAGACAGGGAAGTTTCTTCTTTCCCAAACACTCACTTAATTTTTAAGACCCACAGAGACTTCATTCCAGAGAGACTTGATTTACATTCCCTGAATAATTTGGATTATCATTATGGGTCATGGAAATATATCTTAATTATAAGAACCTCTCTTCTGCAGCAGAAGTAAGCTCTCATACCACATCGGATACTTATGTAATGTTGATCACTGAAGACCAGAACCATGGAAAGAAATATTGAGGTCATCTTGTCTTGAGTCTCAATCTTTCCTGCACTATCTGTCACAGAAGTCATCCAGCCTCTACTGAACTTATCTGACTCCTATAGAGATGACAGTCTCCCCACGACTGGGAAACTATGATCATGAAAAATGTCAGACTTATACTGAATACAAGTCTGCTCTGTATACATTTTATGAATCTGCTTCTACCCTTCAGTGTTATACAGCACAAGTTTATTATATTTTCCCCCTGAAGCCCTTCGAATGTCTCTCACCAGGACTTATGTCCTCTATTTACTAGGTTAACCATGTCTAATTGCCTCAGCCATCCCTCAAAGGGCACGTTTTCTAAACCTCTAATCACACTGATTTTTTTTTTTCTCTGAACCGACTTTGTCAAAATCTTTTCTTCAAAAGCATTGCCAGATCTGGACATAAATGATGTTGGCAGGTACAGCAAGCTGTCCTGACAGATCTTTGTTGTTAGCATTCCTTTAGTTCTTAAGAAACCAGTTGATCTGCTGATATGTACAGAAATCTCCAAGGTTCTCAGATCTATTATTAAGGCTAACTCTGCGTGGTCTAGAGAAAGTCTCAAAAGACTCATTCCTCACCTCCCCCAAAATGTAGGAAAATATTTCGGTTTACATTCTTGTTTGCCAAGTGGACAAGAGATACACAGGTTAATTTAGCTGATAAATTAATACAATATCAGAATAGCCCTATAAAATGTTATAACCTATTAATATGCCAAAAGAGATGAATTTACACATTTGTGTAAAACTGGGAGTATTAATGATCTCTATTTTTCTTTCAGCTTTTGCTCAAGTACCCAAGTCATAACTATGTATTAATCAAATGATCCATGAATACCCATTGAGTATGTATGAATAACTACATTAGATATGTGCATGTGCATGTCTGTCTGTCTATCTATTGGAGACTAGAAAATCAAAGAGAGAAAGAAGAGAATCCATTCAAAGAGGAGACAGTGGTAATATAGGTCATATACAACCATGACTTCTGGCTAAGAAACGAGTTAGTTTTCTGGTTCCCCAAGTGCCTTCCCTTTTGTGGCCCATGCTTCCCTTTTCCAAAAGCCACCTTTCATCTCTCCTTCCACATGAGAGAACTGAAATTGCCTCAGAAGAAAAAGCTCCATGGTGCTGCTTCAAGTGAGACAGATGGGACACTCTACTTCCATAAAGATTTACAGCCTTGGAAATCCTAAAAGGCGTTTTTACTCTGCCACATGGTTATGAGTTGGAATCAAGTGGAAGGCAATGGGTTGGGGCTTTTGTGTTATTGGTAGTGTCACTATAGGGTACTGACCAGGTGCCAGTAAATGCCAGTAAGTTGCAGGGAAGGGTCCCCAAATTTATTATGTTGTTGTTGTTGTCAGGTGCCATCGAGTCAGAACCGACTCATAGCGACCCCATGCACAGCAGAATGAAACAATGTCCGATCCTGGGCCAACCTCACTACCACTGCCACACTTGACACCATCAATGATGCCACCTGGCTGATCCATCTCGTTGGAGGTCTTCCTCTTTTTCTCTGACCCTCCATCTTACCCAGCATGACATCCTTCTCCAGCAACTGTTCCCTCCTGACAATATGTCCAAAGTATGAGAGACGGATCTTAGCCATCCTGGCCTCCAAGGAGCACTCTGGCTACACTTCTTCCAACACAGATCTATTGGTTCTTTTGGCAGCCCATGGCACTTTCAGTATTCTCCTCCAACACCACAACTCAAAGGCATCAATGCTTCTATGATCTTCCTTATTCACTGTCCAGCTTTTGCATCCATATGAGGTTATTGAAAATACCATGGCCTGGGTCAGGCGCACCTTAGTCCTCAAGCTTACATCTCTGCTCTTCAACACTTTCAAAGTTCCTGTGCAGCAGATTTGCCCAATGCAATACGTCGTCTGATATCTTGACTGCTGCTTCCACGAGTGTTGAGAGTTGATCCAAGAAGAATAACGTCCTATAACTATTATAAGATCATCTTACATACTGCCATATACACACATATGTTGTTGTTAAGTTTCGTTGAGTTGGTTCCGACCCATAGCAACCCTCTAGAGGGTTTCCAAGTAGCAACTGGTGAGCTTGAACCACCAATCTTGTAGTTCAAACCGACTAAACACACATATACATACATACAAATAGGTGTGTGTGTATGAATATACCTGGAAAGTTACATTTAGTAATTCAAAAAGAGGTAGTCTAAGGGAAGAAAAAGATGTGATAGGTATTTGTGCTGAGGGAATGGAGATACATAGATTTCGTCTTAAAAGCACACATTTAAGAAGGGAAGAAGAAAGATCTCTTAAAAGGCAATCTTACCATACAGCCACACAGACTTCATAAGGTTTCTCACAGATGGCTGTGATGCTACAGTTGCTCATGCAAGACTTTTGGTTGTCACAGGTGGAAAGTTTCTCGTCACAAAATTTACACAGTTGCGGAAACTTGATTGCACCATTGCTGTCCGTGACCATCATGTCATCATTAACTGGGGTGAAGAGAAAATACATTAAAAACATTATTCAACTGTCAGGGAGCCTACCAATGAATTACTGATGATGCTATACAGTCTCAAATAAAATAGATGTCATGAAAATGTATACAGAGAAAACAAAAGAATTCCTTCATATCAGAACAGAATTTTTTCACATATGAAATTTGTAATGGAAGTCGTTGATTGTATGGAGGTATGTATATTTGTGGGGGGAGACAGATGAGTTAACTTCTTGCATTTATCAGTGATTATCATAAAACCCTCTTTTACATAAATCTTTACCATCCGATCAAGGAGCATACATTGGTTCATTGTATAGTTTGGGGTGCTAACAGCATAATGAAAAGTACCCTTAAGGAAATTAATTTATCTAGGTGAACAGATAATATGAGGCATGGTTCAGATGGGCAGATGGAGGTCACAGCCAAGCAGAATCATGAATTACAGACACAGTCAGTCAGTAAATGGTAAGGAGAAACCACTAGTGCAGCCATTCTTTTCCTGACCTGCACCCAAAGGGGCTATAATGGTCTTCTTGACCTGGGATTGGTTTTACTCATTTCTTTCTGCTGCCTGGATGAAAACCAGTTGATTAATCAACACTTACTGGGTGCTTCTTGATTCAATACCAAGCATTGCCAAGGCACTCGGGTAATGAAGGTCTAAATCTCACCATAAGGATCTTCCCTATTGCTACTTCTGTGACCTCACCTCTTACCTTCTTATCCAATATTCATGACATATTAGAACATATGATCCTTTCCTAGAATGGGCCAACTTCCTTCCTTCTTCACACCCTTTCATTATCTATTCCCTTTGTCTGGTTTCTTCTTGCCTTTATGATCTCTGGTTAAATGTCATCTCTTCATGCTAAAATTGTTGTTGCTAAGTACTCTCAAGTCAGTTCTGACCCATAGCGACCCTGTATAGAATTATCAAGGAACAGCTGGTGGGTTTGAACTACTGATCACAGTCCAGTGCTAATCCTACAGCGCCACACAGTAATTACCACATTATAGAACTGACTCTGCACAAACTGTCTTAATCTACCACATGATAGAACAAGATTTTGTACAGACTGTCTCAATTACTTGCTTATTAAAATCTATCCATCAAACTGTGAGCTCTGTGACATTAACTCCATGAGTCTTTACCTGCCTTGTTTACACAGTATATCTCTAGTCTCCAAAAGAGTCTGTCATAATGGAAGGTATCAAAAATATTGGTTGAATGAGTGAATGGGTAAAAGAAATGATAAAATAAATATATTTGACCCTTTATACTGCAGGAAGGAATACAGAACTTCCCTCAAATTAAGGGAGGGGGGAATATGATCATTTATGTGATGATTTGTATTCATTCAATAAAATAATAGATAGACTAATCTTTGCAATACACTAATTGCCAACTGACAGACTATTATAAAGTGTTAATGGATTGAACTGTGTCCCCACAAAATGTATGTGGAAATCCTAATCCCTATACCTATGCATTAAATATGGCCTTGTTGGGGAAAAAAGGTCAAGTCAGACATAAGTAGATTAGGTTCTATTCCTAAGCCCTTCAGAGTGGTGTCTTATAACAGGGGGAAAACAAACTAAAAGCGTCACACACAGGGAAGGACACCATGTATGGATCCATCTATAAGACAAAGAATGCCGAGAAATGCTCAGATGATTATGGTATTGGAGAAGAATATTACAAATATCCCAGTCTGCCAGAAGAAGAAGAGATTCGTATTGGAAGAAGTACAGACAAAATGCTCCAAGACTTCATCTCTCATACTTTGGACATTTTATCAGGAGGGTCCAAGCTCTGAAGAGGGACATCATGTTTGATAAGGTAAACCGTCAGTGAAAAAGAGGGAAACCCCCAATTAGAAGGACTGGCACAGTGGCAGCAACAAATGTAACAACGGTTGTGAGGAGGGTAAAGGACCAGGCAATGTTTCTTTCTGTTGTGCACTGGGACACTATGAGTCAGAAACGAATCCAAGGCACCTAACAACAACAACCACCATGACGGTGGAAGAGACAAGGACACAGCCTTCGACAGAGAAAGAGCACAGACCCACAAATGTACACTTCTACATAACTGTGAGAAAATAAATTCCTTTTTTTATCCTCCCAAGCCACTCAGTTTATGGTAATTTGTTATGGTGGCACTAGGAAACAAAGATTAAAAAGTATAACATGTCCTTTAGATCCCTTTCCTCAATGAAATCTATTCATATTAGTAATGATGATAATCAAGGGTAAGAATCAAATGGAGTAAGGTAAGGTTTGCTGTCGTTGTTAAGCACCATCGAGTTTGTTCAGACTCATAGTGACCCTGGTATAAGGTTTCCAAAAGGAGCTCTAGTAGCATAGTGGTTAAGGAATCGAGCTGCTAACTTCAAGGTCAGTAGTTTGAAACTACCAGCCCTTCCACAGGAAAAAGATGAGGCTTTCTGATCCTGTAAAGATTTACAGCCTCGGAAACCCTATGCAGGGTTGCTATGCATCAGAACTGATTCCACTGCACACTACCACCACCACCACCATAAGGTTTCCGAAGAGCAGCTGATGGGTTTGAACCGCTGACCTTGCAGTTGAGTGCTTATCCAACAGTGCCACACCAGGGTTCCAAGTTTAGGCTACAAGGGATTAATCAACAGACATGAATTAAATGACTGCATTATATGGTAGACTAAGAAAGACTGTGGACCAAGGCCACATTTAACACTAGATTAGTCACTGACCATTAGGAGGTAGGGAATGTGCCTCCCTGAGGGACAACCATTGCAGAAGCATGAAAAAAACTCCATCTCCCCATGACTGAGTGTGCTCCTACTTAAGGCCAAAGGAACAGTTTCACTGGTATTACACAGTCGCTTCCTGTCCTGTGAAATTTAGATTTCTGTCATTGATACTTTACTCTGCCATGTCATGTCTTTGCCACTTGGGCATAGCACCTGTTTTCTGGGTCTCTAAAAATATAAACATACATAAACTTAAGATTTGCTTTCTTGTGGCAGCATTAAATATAGAAGAAAAAAAAAAAAAAAAGCCATTCATCCCTCTCAGACCTCAAGTTCATTTCAGGAAGTATATTTTTAGGTAGCGAACTATTTTGAAATTCTCAATGTCTCCCAGGCCAAGAGCTCTATGTTTAGCTAAAAATACAGGCAGAAATGTTCTCTGAACATTGTGATAAATTTGGGACCAAAACAATAATGAAATGAAAATATATTTCTTATATGGTGGTTAGATTTGGGTCCATTTGCAAAACAACTATCTTAACCCAATAGGTTTGACTATAAGGCATTTGCCAAAGTACAATGAAGTTAGGCCATTTTTGGTTAATTTTATATATAAACAAATTACTTACGTATTTGTTTCCCTAGTATGTAGTATGTTTCAGACTAGTCCTGCTGTGACTTTGTAGGATGAACACTGGACTGCTAACCACAAGGTCAGCAGTTCAAATCCACCAGCCACTGTGAGATTGCTATGAGTCAGAATCGACTCAATGGTAAACAACATGTTTCAGACAAATATTTATTTGCTGGTTAGGAAGCTTTGTTTTTAAATATGAAATCAAACCTCCATAACTTAGTATGATTAGACTTTTGACATTTTAGTTTGTGATATATATCAGTATTGCTTAACTGTGGCCACACATTGGAATCACCTGGGGAACTTAAAAAAATCATGAAGTCTGGGTCTCATCTCCTTATATTCAGATTGTTTTGGAGGATGCCCTGGGCATCATGAGAAGTTCTCCAGGAGAACCCTGAAAAAACACAACATAAGACAAAAACGACAACCATTGCTGCCAAGACATATGGCAAACACACTTACTTCACATGGAGGGGCAGCCCCTCAAGACAACTAGAAGAATTTTCCTTCTGAAAAACATGCCCCTCAAAAGATTAGCTGTTTTACACCTCATATGGGAAGAAATGCTTTTCCAGACAAGCCAGACGTGTGAGCGAAGTGACAGGAGTCATGGGTAACAAGAAAGAAAGAAAAACAGATGACAGTGTTGCTGGAGGCAGCAGTGGTGGCCACAGAAGAGTAGACAAAAATAAGTGGTTTAGGTCTGATGCTTCCACATGACAAAGAATCAACAGTGAAGACACAAAAGAAATACAATCCAAAGAGAGGAAGAAGGGGGCTACCATGCTGCCCCATTCTAGGGGGCCTCATTTACATTGTAGTTTGTGCAAATGACGCTGCTGGAGGTGTACAGATGCACAATATGTGCTGGTTTATGAGGGGGACTAATGAAAAACACACTTAAAAAACTATTGAATTTTGGAAGAAAAAAAAGGCAAACTCCAGTTGTATCCCACACTTCAGTAATTGGAGGCATCAGGGATGTATACAAAGACATTTACTGCACACCATTGTGTGCCAGGCACAGTGCCTAAGTTATCTCAAATAACATCATCATAGTTACAGAGAGAGGTGAAATTTTTCTCCTTGTTACAGCAAACGTTACCGCTGCTAAGACTTATTTAGTTTGTCCAACATTTTTTTTTTTAACTTGAAAATGTTTATACAACGTATTTGTTGTTGTTGTTGTTAAGTGCCTTCGAGTCGGTTATACAACGTATAGTCATTATAATTCACTACCTGCTAACTGCTCTTCTTAACTATTCCCATTGACTCCTGACGACATAAACATTTCCAACCCTTCCTTTAAGTCTATTTCTCGTTCTGTTACACAAAGTGGGTATATGTATATTGGTGAGATTTGGTGGGAGTTAAGTTCAGGGGAAAAAGTGACTCCAAACCTTCTTTAGGGCCTTCTCTCTACTTACTGTAATAAAAGCTTTTATGAACTCATTCCTGAAGACATCATACATATAGATGTTGCTCATAGTTTCGAAGAGTTCACAGATGTCTAAAGGCTGATAAGCCCAGGTGAAGTATCCCAGATCTATGCCACAGTTTTCCAGAGCCACTGATAACATGCTAAGCAGTGCAGTACTAATCAGAGTGGTGTGG